AGTGAAACTCTTCAGGGAAGCGGTATAGAACCCTGAAAGGAAGCCGTATTGGAAGCCTGGAAACCCAGAGGCTCCAGATATACTACGGTTGATGATATAAATCCTGCATGACCCATAATAAGGAATAGACCACAACTCCCATAGCTTAGGGTCCTTAAGGCAATGAAGGATTTATATCATCAACCGTATCCTTGTACAAACCCCCGTATGTTTGCTCTTATGTGCTCCAAGACCTACTCTATCAATTTCAGGCCAACAAAGTGTAGTGTTTAACTTACAGGGGTCGGACTTTGTGGAAGTCAGCTCAAGCAGGTAGTGGTTGCTAAGCTCTTACATCGGTGTTCAACTTGCTCTTTGCAATCCTTAGACCCACAAAGCCCTAAACCCTAAACCCTATAACCCCTAAGCCCTAAACCCTGAACCCAAGCCCGAATAAAAGACTCTAGAACCACTCCAACCCCTAAACCCTAAACCCTATAAGCCCTAAACCCTAAACCCAAGCTCGGAGTCCCCAAACCCCCAATCGACGGGCTATGGAGCTTTGACGGCTCTGCAGCTTTAGCAGGCCAGAAGCCTTCGAAAACCCCCCCTTCACAGTTTAGGGTTTAGGGTTCAAGGTTTTAGAATTTAGGGTTTAGGGTTTAGGATTTATATTTCACTCTACGTACAAACCCCTAAACAGCCTTTGCTGCCAGTCACTCGCGGCGAAGGCGACGCCGTGCATCCAGTGCTGCAGCTCGGGCAGCTCGGCGGCCGCGGGCGGCGCGAGGCGGCATGCGAATGCGCTCCACCACATCTCCACAGCCTCTGGAGATTTTTTAATCTTTATGAGGTTCCTTTACAGGGTTCTTTGACAGCTTAAGACAATGACTCCAAGGATCTTTTTTTTGAGGGCCTTTTTCCGTCTTGCAAGAGGATCTTTTTATGGCTTTGGGCGTTTCATACAGGGGCTGTGGTGCTCCCAGGTTTGGGTCTTTGGTATTTGGGGCTTAGGATTCGCCTGCAGAGCTCCAAGTAGAGAGAGTCCTGGGGCTTTGGGATTGCAACCGTTAGGGTTTAGGGTTTAGGGGTTTAGGGTTTCGGGTTTAGGGGTTAGGGTTTAGGGTTTAGGGTTTAGGGGTTTAGGGTTTAGGGGCCTGGGGGCATCACGGTTCGACTTTAGGACTTAAGTGTTTAGTCCTTAGTGTTTTTGGTTTGGTTTAAGGCATTCGAGCTTCCGGCCTCCTGCGCTTTTGGCCATGTGGCCATTATGCGGCCGAGCTCCGCACCCGCCACCGCCAAATACACACAGATAGGCTTGTCAGCCTCCAGAAGCACCAGGGGCTTCGGGATGTGGAAGCCCTTCTTGGCCAAGTCCTCCAACTTTTTGAAGCTCAGCTGCTCTCTCGCCGTGGTGGAGAGGATAACGTCCTCGAAGACGGGCAGGAGGTCTTCGGGAGATCTCTGCGGAGATCTCGCGGTGCCCAGCAGCTTCACCAGCAGCCGGGAGAGCGCATCGTAATGTCTTCGCATGCGCACGAGGATGGCGCGGTCGTCTCGCACGCCCGCGAAGGCCCAGAGCCAGACGTGGTCCCGATGCCTCTCCTCCTCCATCTGCTTTTCAAGAGGGCCCTGGGCCTCGATAAATTCAGCGACCTTCTCAGCAGTCTTTGGCCCACCACGGGCCACGCGGTCGAAAAGGGCTGCCAGAGGGTGCGGCTTCGAGCGTTCCGCGTCACTGGCTCGGTGAGATGCGGCCGTTGTTGAACCTTCAGGGCATGCCGCTTGACATCTTGTTAAAAATAGGGACCCTCATAATTAGACTACTGGTTCTGCGGTATATGATAGTAGAACTTCACAGGGACTAGCAAGGGGGATAGAGCTTCCATATATCGCCATCCCTTCAGCAACACCTAGAGAACCCAATATCCCGTAATTAAGGAATATACCTTAAATCATAATACTAAGGCCCCTATAATTTAAGGCATATTCCTTAATTAAGGGGTATTGGCTTCTCTGAGCTCCTACAGGCCTTCACCTCGGGAAGCCCGTGGTGCTTGCAGATTTGTCTGCTGCGCGAGTAGGGCACGAAGCGGATCCACTGCACGCTGGACCTGAGAAAGAAACTCACTGAACCAAAACCCTACCCTAAACCCTAAACTTTGAAACCCTAAACCCTAAGAGTCCTAAACCGTAAACTCCAAACCCTAAACCCCAAACCCTAAACCCCAAAAGCCCTAAACGCCTAAACCCTACGCCATCAGCTCTAAACCCTCAACCCCCGGATCTGGGGCTTGGGGTCTGAAGTTCAGGGGTTAGAAGTCGAGGCGCCAGGACTTCAGAGTTTAGGGCCTAGGGTTTAGGGTTGAGGGTTTACGGTTGAGGGTTTTGGGGTTTAGGGTTGAGGCTTTAGGGGTTTAGGGTTTAGGGGTTTAGGGGTTAAGGCACTAGGACTTTAGGACCCCCGCAACTCGACCACAACTTTGTTCCAGCCCCAACAACACCACCCAAAATCCCTCCGAAGAACCCCAGCCAAGAACAGAAAACAACTTAGATCCTTAGGGGGGGGGGTCTAGGGTAGGGCTTTAGGGCTCCTTTATGCGACCCTGAAAGTGGCCCTAAAACCGTAAGCACCGTCCTGAAAAACCCAGAGACTCCCGAGACCTCTTCATTACAGCATTTCCTGCCTGCTGAGGGCTCCTTGTTATGGTTTCCATATCCATCCATATATATATATATATATACATATACATATATACACACACATGCAGTTTTATGTATTTATATACTTAGTTATGTATTGATTCATACGGATTTATGTACATATCTATTTATGTAGCTATTTATGTATTTATTTATTTGTTTATTTAATGATGTATTTCATTATATCATTTTGATATGTCTATATATACATACATACATACATACATACATACATACATACATACATACCTACGTACGTACATACATACATACATACCTACCTACTTTCTTCCTTCATATGTATATATGTATGTATGTATGTATGTACGTATGTATGTACGTACGTAGGTATGTATGTACGTACGTAGGTATGTATGTATGTATGTATGTATGTATGTATGTATGTATCTATATCTAGATATATATATATATGTATATATATGTACATATATATATATTGTGTCCTTAAAAAGGTAAGTTTTTTGGCCACAGGCTTTTACTTAAACTACAATCAGGATCCCTCCTTGAGAGGAGGTTATTTTTGAGTATCCTAAACCCTAGGACTCTAAATCCTAATGCCCGAAACCCCCTAAGCCCGAAAAGGCCGTGAAACCCTACCTGTGGCCCAACAGACCTCCCTTCTTAAGGAACAAAATCGGGAAATCATAAGAAGGAACCCTTAAAAATGGTAGGTCTTTGCGGCTACCCTAAACCCTAAACCCAAGCCGCACCCTCAACCCTAAAACCCTAAAACCCCCCAAGGCTTCGAAAGCCCAGAAGCACAGCTTGGGCCGCCAGGGCCTTTGCTGGCGCTTGGGAGGCTGGCCTCCGTGATCTTCGCGTCCTGGGCTCCCACGGTGCTTCTGCTTTTGTTGAGGGCTTTGGCTTCAGGTTTTAGGTTTAGGGTTTAGGGTTTAGGGTTTAGGGTTTAGGGTTTAGGGTTCAGGGTGGGTTTCGGGCTGAGGGATTCTAAAGGATTTGGAGGATTTGGGTCTAGTTTAGGGTGTGTGTACAGCGGATAGGAGTGAGAGCGCACCCACTGATCGCTCACTTGCTCTTCTCAACTAGGGTTTAGGGTTCACCCCGAACCCGGCTTTCTTGCTCTTTGCTTCCCTCCAGACTTCTGCAGAAAATGAACATTATAAGTGCGAATAAGGGTTTAGGGTAAAGGGTGTAGGGTTTAGGGTACACATTGCACCAGAGCCCGAAGCGGAACTGGCGTCGGGCTGTAAGTCCTATTTCAGCACAGCCCGGCGAAAGCTCACACTCCAGTAAGGGCCGGCAGGTTCAGGTTTAGGGGTTTAGGGTTTAGGGCTTCAGCTGGAAATGAAACCTGAAAACCGAAAAACGACTCAACTGCAGAGCGGGAGGCAGTGTGGCTTTGACCCTTCGGAGCACTTGGCACACTGGTCTCGATGAATTCAACATCCTGGGAGGGCGCGGTAGTTTAGGGTTTAGGTTTTTAGGGTTTGATGCTACTTGAAGGAGCAGGGACTTGGTAAGTAAGGTTTCATAGGTTCCTTTGCGAGATCCTTTTTTCGTCATTTGGGGGGGTTTGGGGTGCAACTTAAAGGATCAGGGGAATTAGTAAGTGGGGCTACAAGTGCGGTGAGTATAGTGATGTCTACTTACAAGCCTGGTTTGGCCACTTTGAACCCTACTTGCTAAGTTTCATGGACCCTAAACCCTAAACCCTCAACCCTAAACTCTAAACCCTAAATTCTAAACACTAAACCCTAAACCCTAAACCGTGGGTCTCCAGTAATTCTTTAGGCATAGGGCTCAGGTCTTCCTACAGAGATCGCAGGAAGCTCCAGGGCGTTCCATCAGAACTTCTTGCAGGGTTTAGGGTTTAGGGTTTAGGGTTTAGGGTTTAGTTTGCTGCTTGCTTGTGAATGTCACAAAGTAGACCCTTCACCATGTTGCTTGCTCCTTCACCGTATGTATTTCACGGGGCTGAATACAGGGGCCTATACATTTAGAGTTGGTGTAAACCCTAAACCCTAAACCCTAAAACCCTAAACCCTAAACCCCTAGAAGCTGCTGAACTCTGAAGTGTCAGCCCAAGACCGCCAGCCTTTTTCCTGACCCCAGTCTGGAAAGATGCATTTTTCCCGATGCCATCGACCAAGAACAGCCCAAACCTCGAGATCTTCTGGCTTTTTCAATCCCCTAAATTGCCTAAACCTTCTGTGGGATCGGCGCCTTGCTCTTGCGCCTAGCTTCAGCACTGGAAACCCGATGAAGTGCATGTAAAGGATCCGGGCACTGAGCAAGTCGGTTGTGAGTACAGGGAAACTTAGACCCTAAACTCTAAACCCTAAACTGCCCTAAACCCCAAACCCTAAACCCACTTTAACTACATCTCTACTTCCGGTCGACCCTTCACGTCCCTGAACCCCCGGAACACCCCCCGGAACCCTCGGTCCGACATATTAGGTCCTAAACTCCCTGAGCCCTACAACCTAGAATGGAAACCCTGGGCTTAGGGTTTAGGGTTTAGGGTTTAGGGTTTAGGGGTTCTTCATCTCATCTTCCCGGTCGCGCCGGAAAAACCCTCAAAAGCCTGAACTATAGAAGGGTACAGAAGGGATCCAGGGTCTGCCAGCCTGTGCCTTTTTCTTCGGTGACGCATGACCCCCCCTTGGCTTAAGAATCCTGCAGCTCAGGGTTTGGAGCTTGAATTTTCTATTGGGGCGAGGTTTTAGGGTCCAGGGTTTCAGGTTCGGTCGGACATTCGCCAGTGCGTGTCAGCCATCCGGGCTTCTGCGGCTTGCAAGCGTTTCAGCTGAACTTGCCGATGTCAGCATCCAATTTAGCGGGGTGCTCCACAATTGTTCGTAGCCATGCTACACGTACATTTGCCGCAAGCTCAACAGGATTGCCTGTGCCCTGCAACTGCTTTTGCCACCGCCTCTGCCAGCGACGGAATGCCAGCCCACGCCTGCAAAACGTTCCGCCATCTCAGACCAGCTAAAGGAGCTCTGGCAAGGAACAAGAGATGCCCTTACGCTTCCAGACCCGGCGGCAAACGTGCGGGACTTTGCCGGGCTCAACAGCTGCCTAGTGCGATCTTTCAAGTACTGTACAGGCCTTAATAGTTAGAATCGGGTTTGGGGGGTATATTATACTATAATTATAATAAGGAACCTCCAAAATAGTATAGGTAATTATCAAAGCCCCTATATTGACTTGGGGTTTCATGTTTACTGGGATCCCGGAAACCCGAACACCTCAGACAAGGAATCCTATCGCATTTCTGACAACGCCAAGCCCTAATCCCTGGACCATAGACAGGCTCTGATACAGGTCTCAGGGTTTAGGGCCACGGGCAAGTTGAGAGTTCTGGCTGATGTATAACTTTTGCAAGTCTCCGATGATGCATCGTCCGCCGCCGCTGCCTGCCGCGCCAGGTCATGCTGTTGATGGGTATGGGTGTGGGCTTTACGCTTCGATGGTTCAGGCTGCTTTGGGTTTCCACTTCCAGCTGTTTAGGTTGATGGTGTAACCATACCCTAAACCCTAAACCCTAAACCCTAAACCCCTAAACCCCTAAACCCTAAACCCTAAACCCTACATAGGGAGCAGTATTACACGCAGTCTGAAACCCTCGATCCTAGTAGCCTGGCCTACCCTTAGGCCGAGCCTTAAAACCCTAAAGCCGAAACGCCAAGAACCCAAAAACCTCTTCTCCAAAATAGCAAGAGTGACAACTGTGCGAACAACAACACCAATCACCAATCATTACGAGAATAAGACGGACGTAACTCAGTCTTGAACCCCCACAGCCGATAACAGGTTGAGGAGCAATAATGATCATGGCAAGAACAAGACAGAAGTCATGAGAGAAAAAAACCCAAAACGTTCCTCCGCGATCTTGGCGCGCTTGCAGTCCGGCTCCAGGCGAGAAACCTGGCAGAAGACTTCCAGGACGTTTGATAGTTCCCTACACCCCTAAACCCTAAACCCTAAAAGCCCTAAACCCTGGACAGTAGTAGTCGCGGTCTGGCGATTTAAGCTGCAAGGTTCCGAGGCGATGTCTGAATAAACCTGAGTCTTCCAAGAATACATGAACCTTAGGGGTTCTTAAGGGTTTAGGATTTTTTGGTGGTTTTGAGGGGTTCTTAAGGGTTTAGGTTGTTTTGGTGGTTTTGAGGGGTACTTAGAGGACCACGGGACTTTGTAGATAGGGTTATAAGTACCTTAAATAGGGTTAGAAGCAGATATAGCTACAGCTACCTTACTTACAACCCTATGTATGGAGTCCACTGATCCTCTGAGTACGGAGGAATGTTGGAGTTTCAGCGTGGTACGGAAAGCTAAACATTCCACCCTGCGCCGGTGTAATGGCGTATCACTCGAACCTGGACGCTTCGGGTTTGTCCTCCAAAGCCAGTGCCCCTAAACCCTAAACCTTATTAAAGCTAGGCCCTAAACCCTATAAGCCCTAAGCCCTAATCTAAGCCCTAAACCCTCTAAGCTCTAAACCCTAAACCCTATAAGCCACAAACCGTAAACCCCTAAAACCTGGCCTAGGCTGCTGGCCGTACCGGCCCCCCGATGCCTCGACTCCCAGACCGAAGTTTCCGGCGCCTGATTCCTGGGTTCTTGTTAAGGGATTCAATTTAAGCTACGATAATAGGGATCTATAGTAAATAGTATGGTTTCCTTCTTGTAGTATCTTAAGTTAAATCCCTTAACAAGAGCCCAGAATATTGGAAGATCCAACCTTGCAAGGAGAGTTTGGGGCTTGGGACCTTCGGGTTTCGGGTTTGGGGTTTGGGGCTTAGGGTTCAGGGTTTCGGGTTTGGGGTTTAGGGTTTAGGGATTAGGGCTTTAGGGTCTTAGGGCTTTAGGGTCTTAGAGTTTTAGGGTCTTAGGGTTTTAGGGTCTTAGGGTTTTAGGGCTTAAGATTTAGAACATCTCTTGGCGGTGGAGTCCGACGCATGGTTGGTCCGGAACCCACTCCGCCGGCGACATCTGAAGTCTGAAGCTTCAACACCCTCGAGGATCTTCAGGTTCCTGAACGGTTAAGGTTTAGGGTTTAGGGTTGAGGGTTGAGGGTTTAGGGTTTAGGGTTTAGGGTTTAGGGTGCTGCAGGCTCCCGGAACTTTCGCACCACCATGTAATGGGATACACGCCCTACCCAGACACTCGAAAAACCCTTTGACAATGGAGCTTTCCTTACACTGTGATAAGAACCGCTGATAAATGGGAAGTTCTCTAAATCAGGGTCCCTTCTAGGGTCCTTTTTACAAGGGTGCCGTACTATATTGGGGACCTACAAAGAGACCCCAACTTAGAGAACTACCCAAATGACAAACTTCTATCTGGATAATTCCGCAGCATACAGCCCACACACTGACATCCGAAACCCTCGATCCTTAACCCCTCAAACTCCCGATCCCAAACCCTAAAACCCTAAAACCCTAAAACTCTAAAACCCTAAAGCCCTAAACCCTAAACCCCAAACCCTTGTTGAAGGAAGGCTTTATCCCGATACACCGATACAGAAACAATGATTCCAGTGTGACCTGAGTATCCAAAACCCTGAAGGAGGATCTATAATAGGGTTCCTGTAAGGTTTCTGTTGTGGGAACTCACCCATTAAATCCCCTTCTAATGCCGGAAGCTCTCTGCGGCTGCCTGCGGCGCCTCAACGGCTTTGCACGGCCGCTTGAGCCGACAGAAGTCCTGCAGCTGAGGGGTTCAGGGGGTCTAGGGTTGAGGATTGAGGGTTTGGGG